GTTGCAGTGAGAGCACTCTGCTGGGCACGGTCTTCTAGAAAAATAATCGGAATTACTGTGACTTATTCCGGCTCTGTCTTCGATCTTAAAGTCGTATTCTTGAAGTCGTTCGATCCATCTGGCGATTTGGCCCCCCAAGTTCTTGAACTGCATCAGCCACTCAAGAGCTGCACGATAAGTGCGGATTATAAATTTTCGTACATATAGGTATTAGTAGAAGTAATCCCCACATTTCACAACTACCAGAGGTTCACTTCTCGTGACGCAATAATTTCGCTTAGGTTTAGAGGGCACTTTACTTAAATAAGTCAGTGCTCTTTTTTTTTTTCTGAATATGTGAAGACACTCCTTTAGTTCCCACATTACTAGCATCAGTAGCCAGAATAAATTCTCCCTCTGGTAGTGGGTAGCCTAGTATTGTCGCTGTTGTTAAATGATTCTTTAATGTTTCAAAGGCAGTTTGGTAGTCTTCGTCCCATGATAATTCTCTCGCTTCTTCGGTAAGTCGTGTTATTAGCTTAACAACAATATCGGAGAATTTCCTTATGAATCTTCGGTAGTATATACAGAGTCCAAGAATTTGATGTTTATCAGTTGGTTTTGGCCATTTTATTATGGAAGTGACTTTTTCTTTATCTACAGCCACGCCATCCTTGCTGACTATATGACCTAGGTAATTAACTTTATTTTGAAATAACTGGCAGTTATTTAGATGAAATATCTTTCCCAAGACTATGATGTCATCTAAATAAAGCAGGCATGTTTTCCAGGATAACCTTCTCAATATGTTTTCCATAAGTCTTTCAAATGTCGCGGGGGCAGTACATAGTCCAAATGGCAAAACCTTCATTGTTACCTGGACCTCTATTCTATACTAAAAATTTTTAATGGTGGACTGTGGGCTTTTAGACGTTATTAGCAATAAAAAATCCCTTTGCAAGATTTTTCTGTCATCCGGTTTTGCTACTTCCAGTTTAGGGATTACGTCTACGTAAATAGCTGTTGACGTTTTTCAAGGAAATTCAGGTTAAAGCTTAAACGCGTTTTTTCCGAATCCAAGATGATATTGCAAAATTTCTTTTTGTGTCTGCGAAATGGTTGATATGCATAAAAAGTGTAACCTATCGAAAATTAATTGAAATAGGTGTAAAATTAGAATCAAAAGTCGAAAAGTAGTTTTTTTTTATTTCCTTCGCATCAACTCTGTAGAGTCACTATGTTATGTTGATAATGGTGTGTTAATACACTGCGACCTAAAAGATCTATTGTGCCCCCTTCTGTCGCCACTGCACTAAGGAAATGTCTCAATGCCTATAGCGACCCTTCCAATCCTATTTTCTCAAGGAAGTGCAGGATTTGAAGTGGCTTCAAGTTAGGTAAGTCTCCCTCTTCTATTTGATATCCTCCTAGATATAGTGCCCTTGGATTCTGGAGTGCTACTGTAGAGTCATTAGCGAGAGGCAATTAATTTATTTAAATAAAGAAATTACACATGGTTTACAATATTAATTGCTCTAAGATATGCTAATAAATTTTTAAAAGACCCAGTGCTTGATCTAATTTACAAGAGGAATATTAAACTTAATTCGTTCTTGGCTATATTTTGGTCCAATTATTAAGAAATGTCCTACAGTTTGCTTTACATCACAAAGTTCACATTTTGGTTCTGGTTGTTTATTCATTAAATAAGCGTGTGTTAATTTAGTATGACCTATTCTTAACCGAGACATTATCACTTGTGTTTTTCGGTCTTTGGGTAATTCCTGTCACGAATTCATTTGAGGTTTGACTGATTTCAGCTTAGATGTAGAGGTGTTCCAACGATTTTGCCACGCACTTTGCACTTTTGATTTTAATAAACTTTTGCATCACTCCTTAAAAGATCAAAAATTTGGAGAAAGTCTACCGCTCTTATTGCTCCGCGCGCATGTTTATCAGCTTTCTCATTTCCAGCAATTTCGATATGTGAAGGAATCCATATGAAAATAACTTTTTAATTTTTATTTTCCAATTCTAGTAGATTTTTTTGGATTTTCATAGCAATCTGGTTGGTTGGAAATATTCTTTTCAAAGTTTCCAATGAGCTGAGGGAATCCGTTAATATTTCTGTAAGTTTGAACTATTAATTAATGCAGTAGGCTGATATAGCGCATACAATTCAGCAGCATACACGTTACATTCGGGTGGCAATAGTAATTTATGCAACAAGTGCATAAAGTGGTACTTTTTTTCACGAATGGAAAAGTTGACCGCATGAGCCGCCAGGCGAATGCGGCAATTCCATGAGTGAAAAAAAGACACTTTATGCATATGTTGCATACAATATTTTTTCTACAGCCCTATACAAATAATAAAATAAAAATAGATATTTGGAATATTTTAATTAAATTCCTTTAGTAAATTACAACTATAATAACGAATGCATAATGATTATTGAATTGGACAAATAATATTAAGAAAAATAACAAGTAAATTATGTATTTTTGTTTCTTTCATTTCGCAATGTGGATATTGAAAACACAATTGGTTGGTTGACTAATATGATTTTTTGATGCAGTCACGTTTGTTTTTGTCTGATTCATGGATAAAGCATCATTTAAATTGTGAATATTTGGAACAGTCAAATTTGTCTTTGATTGATTCTCATATGATGTTGAAGTTTGGTTAAAAAAACTGCTGTTGTTAGGTCCTTGTAAAATTCGTGAAGCACAGTTCATTTTTGAATTGAGAGAATTGTTCACATACCCTTCGGCTACAGCAGTAGATTTCCATCCTCCATGTTGCTTTAATTGAAGAATGTCTCCACCTGAATCAACTAGAAGCGATGCCGAAGTACGTCGAAACGTATGACCTGTATATACTTCTGGATGCGGTAAACTTAAATATTGTGCAATTAGCGATGGAATTTTCGAAAAAGTTAGCATAATTTTAATAAAAATGTATTAAATTAATGTTTTTACTGGTTTTTCCAATTACCGTAAAACGCCGACTTGTATGCGTTTTTGAATCTGGAATCGTGATGAGTAGAAATTGTCCCTTATTTTCCATGTCATCAATTTTCATTTTATACAACTCTTCTCATCGACAACCTCCAGCTATTCCCAGCATTAATATAACCTACGAATTTTTAAAAAATAAAGTAAGTAAAAACAAATTAAATATTTTAAACTTTTACCTTAAACATTAAATATTTGTCGTCTGGAGCAATCAATAAAAACTTGTTAATCTCCTCCCTTGAAAATGTATTGGATTTCTTGGGTTTGTACCCAACCGATTTTCGTTTCAGAAATGCTATTAGTTTAGCATATTTATTTATGTCTACGTTATCATTAATAATTAAGGTTGCTTTTAGTTTAGAATAGCTGGACCATAATGTAGAAGACTTGAATTTTCTAGACTTTTCTTCAAAAAACGCTAATAGCACCCGCTCTGTAAAGCTATGAATATTATTCTGGTTCCGCCATTTCATAAAAGTGTCATATTCTTTTAAATAATTTTCTTTGGATTTCTCCGGCAGCAAATTTAGTATGGCCACATTAGCTTTTTCTACGATTTCTTCCGGTGTACATATTTCAAACTCGGAATCTTCACTATCCATCATAATAAAAATATAAAGAACTACTAAATTTAAGCCATATTCTAGCGGTCTCTTTGGTTTAAAAATATTTTCAACAACTTTTGGAACCAGTTTTAATACTACGTCATAGATTTTGAAAGCGCTCGAATAGATGATTTTAAAACAATGATGTCACTAACAATTAAGGATTTGTAAGTGTGTAAATCTCTAGCAACAGATAATTTTTTGCCTCAAAAAGAAGCTTATATATTACCAGAGTTTTATGAAAAAATGGATCGTTATATTTAGAATCTTAACCAGTTATTTAGATTTACAAGGTCAAGTTTTAAAAAATTACTACAACTTATAAACCTTCATAATTATGCATTTTCTATTTTTTCTTATAACCATAATATAAAAAATCTTTTTTGGTAATTAATTTTATTTTGTATGCATGATGTTCGCTACTATTTTTGACATTTCTATTTCCTTGAACCGTTCTCAATAAAACGTTTCAAAAACAGATGCAGCTGGTTTAAACCTATTTCAACGTGACGTCATTATTTGATCACTAGAATGGGAATAGTTCAAACCGTTTTCGAACCGCATGAAATATATTCAAACTAGTAGACCGCTCGAATATGGCTTAAATCACCTCGAATTATTGATACTATAATAATTAAATCTGTTAACGTCAAATCAGTTACAGTTCATGTGCTGTCAAAGGTGACTTGATATTTTTTTCCGGTAAAGGTGTGGACGAATTGCACTAATCACTGTATTAGCTTATGGAAAGCGTGAAATAAAGTTAACGCTATGGCACTTTATTTCACGCTTTTTTACTTTTTTTCACTCTAACCATAAACAGCCGTTTTAAGCGTTAAAAAGCGGTGAAATACAAGGTACTTTAAAGGTAGGGCGTAGAAAAAATGTATTTTTGAATCACAAGCGGTGATACAACTGCTGCTCCTACTCCGTCATCAGATTTTGAGGCTATTAATAATCACACCGTTCTGTTTAAATATCAGGACTGGCCTTGGGAAAAGTAGTTTAATTGATCTCAAATGAGAGTATTGCCCTTTTCTTATTTAGTAGTTCTACCTCATTAAAAAAAATGTCAAAATTTCTAGCGAAGGGGTAAAACTACTGAATAAAAAATGCTTGCAAGGAAAAAATCTATTATTTGAGAGACAAACAAGCATTTTGAGAGCAATTGAACCACTTTTCGACTTTTCGAATTTTGGTTCAAAAACAGGTTATTTTTCGCCAGGTGGCAATTATTTTGCATTAATTTATATTTACTTTGTTTTCGGATCAATAGTTTTTCGGAACTTCAAACCGATCTGTTATAATAATATTTATATTTTGGTATTTTTAAATTTTATCGTTCGTTGTGAATAGGCTTGTATAGAACTAAATGTATACAATTATTATTTTATTTCAGGCAACCCTACAGCCACCAGTTATTCAACCTAGGATGGCCCAACTGGAAACACTTGAAGCAAAGGTAAATTTTCTCTCATTGAGTATTACATATGCAAAACTATTAAATTTTGTTCATCACTATTATAAGTTACAAACTATCCAGTTTTAGAATTATTACTTTATTTGTATTATACCTAGGAAAAATATGAAGATTTTTCAAAATTTTTTCGGCTTTTAACAGAAAAGGTCCATTTGGGAATCATATAATATTTGATATATTTTTTCACTACAAATATAGGATATTAATCATTCCATGATTAATTGAATTTTGTGAACCACAATAGTAAATTCTTTTCGAGAGAGAGATATAAGTACACTGTTCAACAACTGAAGGGAAATTTAATCAAATGATGTAACAAATACACAAAACGAAAGTAGTCTTCAATGGAAAATTAATCAATTTAAAAATAAGGTAGGAGTGGAAAAAGTAACTTATAAAATTATTTTATTGAGAAATTTACATCGGTGCAAAACAATAATATCGTGTTAGCACCACATCAGCTTGTCTTTCTTAATTCTTTTAATTTAGAAGAGTTATTATCAAAATATTAATACTGAGCCAATTGTTGTAATATTTGGGGTGGTTTTTATGGCCTTAAATTCTCAACTATGCCTAGATATCTTAGATTAAAGAGACTGAAGATGAAACATTGCACACTGCGCATGTTGTCTATTTTAACCCAAAGTAACCCACCAATTGAAAATTATTGATTGCACGACGCCACCCGAATTGCTCCGATTCAACGCTCACCTCCGCCTGAATTCAATCACTATTGACAGCTGTGTTTTGATTTATTTGTTGGTATTTTAGCAATTTAAAGTGTTCTAGTTTTTCAATTTCAAAATGCCACGATGTATCTTGAAAAATTGTATGTACTTATAATACAAGTACCAATTTTATAAAAAATATATTTGTTTTCAGCGGTAAATATTTATTAACGTTGTGACATAAAGCGCCTTGATCCTTTGGGCTGAATACTTCAGATCCGCATTAAGGGGTTTCAACAAATATTAAGCGTCAAATACATATTTCAGAAATCAGATTTCATATTACTTATATAAATTTACAAAAGGGTAAAATTTTGAACATTTAATTTAAATAAGAAGTAAATAGGCATTGTTGCTAATGAAATTTTGTATTTTAAAAGTAGTTTTATAAGAATGTTTACTAAAGGTGGTTTTTAGCCCGTTTTGGTAGATAAATAAGAAGTGAAGAAGCATAGTTGCTAGCTAAATTTTATTTTTTATAAGGTATTTTTATAAGAATATTAGATGAAATACAGGATGACTTACTTAAAATTTCAAGGTTCATCCTATTTGCGGTCAGATCTAAAGTGACATTTGAATCTTCAGTCTTAAAACAAAGTAAAACGCACAATATGATCTAGTATAAGAAAAAAAAACTAAAGTTACGGGAGTTAGTCACATTGTTAATAAAATGTTACATTATAAACCCCTAAACAACTCGAACAAAATTTTCGTTTACTAAAAAAATCCATATTTTAGCAATTTGTATTATTTATTATACAATCGAATGCGGTTTCAAAGATAACGGGATCAAAAAATCCGAATCTCTAAATTTTGGAGCTAAATGCTCGGATAAAAGCAAGCGACCGATAGGGGTTACAAAAATAATCGATTTTTAATAAATTATTTTCGTTTTTTTAAGATAATGTAATAATCGATTTTAAAGGAAATTCAAAAGAAAGTAAATTTATTCAAAATAATCGATTGATTTTTTTGAAAAATTGTCTCAGTTTTTTAAATTAATAGATTATTTTCGCAATACTTACTTACTTAAAATTTCAAGGTTCATCCTATTTGCGGTCAGATCTAAAGTGACATTTGAATCTTCAGTCTTAAAACAAAGTAAAACGCACAATATGATCTAGTATAAGAAAAAAAAAAAACTAAAGTTACGGGAGTTATTATTTTCGATTTTTCAAAGATATTATATGAAAATAATCGATTGATCGAATATAATCGGTTAGTTTATATAACCGATATTTTGGTTATTTTATATAACCGAAATTTCGATTATTTTCGGTATTTCAAAGATAATCGAATTATCGATTTTAAAGGAAATACAATAAAAATAGATTATTGATAATAATCGATTGATGGAAAATAATCGATAATTCTGTTTTTTTTTTTGGAAAATCGATCTATCAGTAAATCGACTTTTTAATTAATCGATTATTTTTTATAAATCGATTATTTTCGATTTTTCAAAAATTATCGAATAATCTGTTTCAATGGACGAAAAAATTGATTATTTGAAAATAATTGATTATTTAAAATAAACCATAATTCTTTTATTATTTTTTGCAAACAATGATTTATCGGTTAATTGTCTTTTTAATTAATCGATTATTTTTGATTTTTCAAAGATAATCAAGTAGTCGATTTTAAAGGAAATACGGCAACAAAATAGAACTTTTTTGAAAATAATCGATTGATCGAAAATAATCGAATATTTTCAATGATCGATAATTTATTTCGATAATCACCCACCCCTAGCGACCAAATGACTTTTAATAGGTTTAAATTTTAAAATGTTATCTGGTTTCAGATATATGCATTTCTAGAGTTTTATGTGACTCATCCTCTATAATATTTAAAATTCCTAAAGAAAAAAGCTTTAATATACCTTTTTCTGAGGTTACAATACAAAACAGCATTTTCTCATTGTGACTAATTTTAAATATTATATAATAGCTGTAGTAAAAATATAATGCTCAACTCACAAGGTTTGATTTGCAGAATTCGCCTGCGCACATTCTTTTTTTATAATACTTGTAGACAGTGAGTACCATTTCTTGCTCTATTAACAATATTCTATTTCAACATTTTACTGTAGTCTCTTGCATAAAAGTCCGTAGTAAATAAACGCTAACGAAATATCCTATACTGCCGTGTTAATTCAAATGGCCGTAACTGCAATTTTCCTTGAAATACAGATATGACCACTACGCCTGACAACAATGAAATTTTTGTTTATCTCGATAATTTTCATGGATATATATTCTATAAAATCCGAGATTATCGCTTAGAAATTTGGGCGTAAGTAATTTTTCTTGAAAAATCGATTTTTCCCACGTTCATGTGTTGTACAGATACGGCCATTTGAATTAACACGGCAGTATAAAAGGTCTTCTCTTTACATAAAATGTCGTGGCATCTGTTTGATATTAAAAAATCACGTTCATTTTATTTCATAAAACAAAATTCCAATAAACATCTTTTAAATAAATCAAATAGTTCATTATGATGCTAATAAACAAAGTCCGGTCCCTGTCACAGAGTTCGGGTCGCCGCCCAGTTCCCCCATTCCGTTAACCTTTCTTTAGAAATTGGCAACATTTGCGCAGGTTAAACACCGGTGTATGTTATATCTCTGGTCTCTTTTATCTTTGCTTAATATAGATGAATACTGTGAGATTATTATAACATTTTTAAATGTATTTTATCAAAGGTAATACCAGTCCTCCAAATTTTATCGATAAAATTTTTAGTTTCCACGAGAACGTCTTTATTTGGAAAAAACACGAAAACAACCCGATTGATAAAATCACGAATCCTCAGGAGGAGTGATTCTATCTTAAATCGGTTTGTTTGAGTGGTTTTGCCTGAAATAAAGTTGTTTCAGTATGGAAACTAAAAATTTAATTGAACAAATTTGAAAGGGCAAGAGGTATTTGAAAAGATTATTTTTTGAATCATTTTACATGAGAAACATTTCCGAATAGGTAATAATCTAAAAGTGTTTATTAAACATATAAATTTGTTTATTTTATATTAATATAATTTTCTTTAATAGTCTTAAAAACATGCGATATGACAACGACGCATTACATCAACAGTTGTAAGAGCTGATCATGCGCATAACCGCTGCGACATAAAAGTCGACTGACATTTGACAAATTTTAAAATTATTTTGTGATTTTTATCTCTTAAACTTGATCTGTTTAATTTGAGTGTTGATGTGGGTTAGTTTTATGTGTGTTATAAGTAATTTAACATAAACAAAAATGGGTTAATTTTAATTATAAATATTACCTATTTTAAATTCGAGAGACGCTAAAATGGTGGTTCCCACCTTATTATGACTGAGGCGCACAAGGGTAAACTCGTAGCGTAACAAAAACGAGAAATGATTTAACTTGTAACGAAAGACCGAAAGCCGATAGTAGTATTAGGACGTTGAATTTTTTGTTTAGGTTCAACCATGTGATGATTTTCACAAGCCTTGATTTTTAATCCCATTCTATATCGCCTTTTGATTATGGTTTAAAAACTTGTTTGAGCAATTTATCCAATAATAATTGGCTCCTTTACCTTTTAAGCCCGCTCATGTAAAATATTTGGGCTCCTTATTTCGCCTATTTATATTCTAGTAATAAAGGATAGAAGGATGAGTATTGCAACTATGTTAAAAGATTTATAAATTGGCTTTCAGTTCAAAATTATGTTCAGTACATGACTGATATTTATTTATAAAATAAAAATGACATAGTACCATCGCATCAGATCTATTAGAAAAAATTCAATATAATTCGCAATATCACAACTATAATACAAGAAGTCAATCTGACTTTCATGTATGGTAAGCCATCACTAAAAGTTCCCAAAATATAATTTTTATTAAAGGTTTAAAAAATTTAATAGACTGCCTACAGAAATAAAAAAAAAAAACATCAATAAATGTATTCAAAAGTAACCTCAAACAATACTTGATAAATAAACAGAACGGATATACTTTCTTGTGATAATACTACTTACTATGTTTAAATTATTAATACTTAATACTAATTATTCTAATATTAGAATGGTTAATTCGTCTATTTATACCTAGAGGGCGTTAATCAGTATATTTAATCTAAAGAAAATTTAATTCCTGTAGAATTATAAACACTTGTCCAAGAACCCATTTTAGTGCTTGTAGGGTTTAAAAGTTTTTAAATTTGTTTGTCTTAATTGTTCGTCCGTTCGTGAAATATTTTAATAATTTTAATTAATAGT